TCCGGGTGTCTTTGTTTTCGAGTCTTCGTTTCCCTGTCTTAGGTTTTAGGTATTTGTTCTCGTGGGTCTTTTTTGCTACATCCTTAACCGCCAGTTGTTTGTTTGCTTGATTTGAAGGGCGCCCTCAAGCTTTCCTTACACAAGGGCAGTTCTGTTCACGATCAAATCTTCCCAAAAAAACATGATCAAATTTGATCCCTCTCCGTTAAGTTGTCTAAAAGACATCCCGTGGAAGGAAGCGACTGATGAAACAACATATTTACTTGAACCTCATCTGCATTTCCCTGGGATGAATTTCCTAAAAGTCCTGGTCGATACTTTTTTTTAACTTAACCGAAAGCTTGGTTTTGAATAAGCTTTTGTCAGACCTTCTTACTCGACAGTCCTTTATCATAAAGTCGATAGACTATTCTCACGAAGGAGATATGATCATCCACGGGCTGAAACGAAAAATAGAAGGAAAAGATAGCCAGTAGAAGCCATGACGCCATGACGGCCTGAGACAACAAGTCACAAAATCAAAGGGCTCTTGGAGCCAGCTCATTCATGTTATGGCTTAAGCTTATATTGATTTCTTGGACTTGTTGAATAAAGGTACAGTTGAATTCGGTTTATGTAACCTTTCAAGACTTGTGGATTTAATTTTCTTTTATTTTTTGGCAGTTGTGTGATAAGAAAACTTGTGCATTCTTCGTGATGGGAACTAGAAAAAGGCTTGTGTAGGCTAGAGGTGGGATGGGCAGAGGCCATTAAGCAGACCGTGTCCTTTTTGGTGGTGTGTGTGCGTGTGTTTGTGGGGCGGAGGGTGGGCTGGATGGGCATAATCAGGCATCAAATGTTACTCTGGCAGCAACATATTAGTAACTCTCATCTTTCACGATCATTTTTACTATTGCAAAATATTTCTTGTTCGTTTCTTGATATCTCTTGTTTTTAACAAGGTTGCCATTGCATTTGGATTTTAAGAAAGCGGTCTCAATCGTTCGTAATCTAATTTCAAGCCTTAATATAGTCTGATTTTCACATATTAATGTTTGTGAAGTCATCAAAGAGATGAGAGATAAAACCACGAGAAAAGTAAACAAATGGCCAGTCACGACTGCAACCGCTTTTCCCTATAAAAATTCGCCAGTTCGTCATTTAAGTTAATAATAATATAAGGCACATATGTGAAAATCAGTGTGTGAACACATTTGGGTTAAAAGATGAGACGAACATTGCACGTGTTAAATATTTAATAGTGACATCTCATTTACATCTACATCTACATCTACCAATTAAATTGGTAAATTCTGTACAGACATCACACCAACCAACTCGCACGCAAAGTGAGAAGACTATATGAAGGCTTGAAACTATATTAAGAACGTTTGTGATCAAAATATTCCGCAATAGTACAAATGATCGTGAAAGATGATCGCGGAAAAGCGATTGCGTGACGCTCAGTAACTTGTAAAATGACATTTTATCACCAGTCTGCAGCCAGTCTGCATTTTGTGCTGACCGGATCGGTATTGCTGTTTTGTTGAGCCTCAAGTCCAGACCGAAATATTAGAGCTCGAAAAACAATTTTTGGTGAGACTATCTTGGCCGCTATGATTGATGTGTGGGCTGTATGTTAAAGAGCTCCCGTAGAAAATAAAAATGACAAAGCAATGATTACTTTATACCAACTGAAGACGAACGCAAATGGATGGCTTACCAATATGGCTGCCTCTGATGCTCTTCCGCGTGAAAAAAAAATTTTTGGGATAACTTTTTAAAGGAGCTTGGAAACCAGGCTCAGCTCAGTAGCCAAGCCTACTGAATTTGTGCCCAAGCCTTTCCTTGCTGGCGTGACCTCTTTGGCCACTAGTTCATGTCGTCAGACTGGAGAATACAAGAAACATCGGCGTGTAGTAAACACAATCTCAAAGAGTAAAGGGAAAAACGTTTTGAGACCGATAGATAAGTATTTTAGTGTTTTACAACCTAACTTTAGTGTTTTGCTTTGTAATTTTAAAACGTACATTACATTGTCAAATTAATACTGACTTGAAAAGCCTTCAGCTAAAAATTTAACTCTTTATTAATGAGCTTATACTTTCTGGATCTGATATCTCAGTTAGCGATAACACCAGAAATCATTTGCTTTTGTGGTATTAACTTTAAATATACCTAACTTGTTATAGTACGTTGTAATAGTTCATCTAAATACACAAAACTTTATTAATGTCTAAATTGTTCCCTGAGCTGCCTGGATATCTGAGGCAGCTGATAATGCATTTTGGGAGTGGTAGGGATGCTTACTTCATAGTGGCTATGGCTGTAACTGTCCTTGAATTTTCCCTGTTGTTTGTAATAGATTTTCCATACATTGTTTGTTATTATATTTCAGGAAATTTTAATCTGCAAGAAGAAAAATTCTTTACAGAAGAATCCTCTTTCTGTAACGTGTACAACTGTTGGTTAAGATTGCAATATTACAACATTTATGATATGAGAATAATTTTCTCTTGTGTGAGGCATCAGTCAGTCTAGGAATTGCCAAGTGTAAAATTTCAAGCCAGAAACTATTCATCTTTTGGAGGGTAGGGCTAGGAGGGGATGGGGGGAGGGGGGGGGGGGAAGGGGTCGAAAAATCATTAGGTTTGCGTATCGTTTTCACTCTTTGCACCCCGAGCACTCATACGCGCACACTTAAGATGGATGCTCAACATAACAAGCGTCAAAAAATAATCGAGCAAATAACTAAGACGTGCAAAACTTCCAGGGATAATATAAATTTACCGCTAGAAACGGTGAAAACGCCATATAGATTTAACTCGAGCTTCTTTAAAGGTACAACTTTCTATGACGTTTTAACAAGATTATCAATTTAATACCAGGAGCTGCTCCTGCATATACGTATTTTAATATGATTGATACCAATTATTTCATAAAGTCAAAATAAGCTTAATGTCAAAAATAAAAAGACAGATTACAACACTTAAAACGAATTCTGTGGTTCATTGAAAAAAGTACTTGGTTCGATTACGTGGTTCAACGAAAGGTTACTGTTGTTTGCCTGCTGGGATTTAATGTCTGCCATACCAATGTCAATGTCACCGCTATTTTGACGTGCTAAAATAACATTGAATACACTTTCAAGACCTGTTCACAATGAGGTGCACTTCTTGCGATTGTGCTGCAATCCAACGAGTCCTTCGGAAAAACATGTCACCGAGAGCAGAGCTTGTAAGACACTATTCAGAAAGCAAGTATTTCCTAGCTTTGTTATTCCTTTCGGTTCCATTTGACCGTAAGTAGTGTTTAGAATTAACGAAGAAAGCGTATTTTAGCCAAAAACAGAATATTCGCACATGAACGGAGCACAGCGAGGTAAGGTAATATTCTTTCGCGCGAAAATTAAAAAAAAAAAAAAAAAAAGGATAATTGATAACTTCCCACTTGTTTTTTTCCCGCGCAAGTGACAAAAATGTCCCCTTCCCTGTCCTCCTCCAATCACACTACAACCAGTCGGGGGAAGTGTTTGAAGAATTGTTAACATGTCATCAGAAAGCTTGATTACCTAATTGAGCATGATGTTTAAGCTCCTTCCCAAAAAAATTTCTGCCTTCCCCGTGATCACAGCGTGTGTAGAAATGAACCCGCTACGGGTCCCCCAGATGTGAACATTTCGGCTTTTCGATTCAAGTTGCATTTTTAGGAGTTCGGAAAAATTATTTTTCCGTTGGTACATGATTTCTGTACCTGAATTACAGCCAAATAATAGTAACTAACGTTCACGAAGTTAGAATGTTGTTCAGAAGGACTAGGTCGAATGCATAAAATTGCGGCTGACGGGATAATAATTACAATTACAGGATAATGATTACAATTTTAATCATGTTAATGTCCTGAACGCCTTTGAACTAACGCTAAAATTGGTTATAAATATCTACTGTAAAAACGATTTAGTCCATAGATTTGCGTATTACGACAATTGTGCACATTTGAAAAAACTAATAGCTATGCATGCATAAACATCAGCGTTTATAATAATATGGCCAATGTGTAAAACAGTGTAACATACAAGTCAGTTAAAAATCTGTTTTCCCGTGGCCGCTGATTTTACAACCCCGTCATCTTCGATACAAAGAATCATGTTAAGCGAATATTTTTACGTTTCCTTCTTACGACTAACACTCCCAGTAGTATATTTAGCAATGTAGCTATGATTCTCTTTTTGCCAATATTTGCAATATACATGAATGCGACAAGCATAAATTGTCCCTCACCGTCACCTGGCAAATTCGAAAAAGGCAACGCACCAACAACAACAAAATATGACATGGCGGGCAATTGGTAAACTTATGTAAAACAGCAAAATGCTCTTCGTCTCGCTTCTGGTCCAGCATTTTATTAACTCCTTAAGAGAGAATCCTGCTTAACGAATGGCTTGGTCAATCGAACCGCACCCCTGAAAATTAGATATGTGTTCGGAATGAGGACGAGATGGGCTGGCAATCCTTTAGGTAATGTGCCACGAAAACTAATTTTCTGGAATAAAGCTTTCGTTTGATACCTACGATATCGGGCAGAATACTGGGAAAACCAGTCCAAAACCCTCTCTGGTAAATCACTGTGCCCCGACAGCTTGACGGTGAAGAATGCATTTCGCTGTTTGTTTTCATCAAAACACACTTTGGTAGATGACTGTTGTGGCCCAATTTGGAACGGTTTTCTTTTTCTCATAATGAAACCGTAAGGCAAAGGTACCAGAACACGGAAAGCACTGAATCTGCTCACCCGTGTTGCGAGATTTTCATTTGAAGTAGATGGAACTAGCCAAATCTAGAGGTAAAAGTTGCTGTTAACCTTCATCTATATCTTCCCGGTTTGATCCTGTCATATAACAATTAAATTATTTTTTTTTTATTTCAGTACAAAATCTATTTCTCTCAGTTACAGATAGACAGAACACACACTCTCTTGGAATCAACTCTAGAGAGGAATATATAAAAATCACGGCGAAGCGGTTGAGGTCGCAAAAAAATACTTTCTGGCAAAATTAAATTATTTTTACTGTTCGTGGAAAATTCATCGGCTCGTATCGTAAAATGTCGGATTCTAATAAAGCTTAAGAAAAGATCATGAATAAACGTTAATTGAATAAAAGAAGATGACTGCACTTCTAACTCTGTTACCTTCTCTGATGCCAAAAGGCTAAGTCCGAAATGAGCCATTAATATCCATAAAAATATGATTTGATGAAATCATTATTTGCCTTTTTCTGTTACTGGACACATTTGAAAACAAGTAACCTACCTAACCTAACCTAAAAAATATGATATAGTCAGGGCAGTTTTTAATATTGCGGTACTCATGTTAAACTATCTAAATTGCTCTTCATCTCGTTTCTGGTAAAATACTATTATTGTCTTTAAAAAGGGCTCTGTTACAAAGAATGGCTTAACGTTTTCCTATTTAGAGCTGACACTCCCAGTAGTGCATGTAGCAATACAGATCTGACACCCCCAGTCTAAGGGTACCTTCGCAAAAGCACTTGTAGGTTCTTTCGCCACCTAATTTGGTGCTTGATAATTTAACAAATTTTGCGTCATTTGTATCACAGTTTACACCAATGAAGGTCGTATTCTGCCAAAAAAAAGATAATCATAATGATTACAATGATGATAATAATGATAATTATAAATGGCGTCAAGAGTTCGAAGGTGAAAGGCTAAAACATTTCCTGCATGCGAATAGGCTAAAGTACATATAGCATTATTTATGTTTTGAGGAAGCCGACGGCAAAAGTTCGCCAAAGAGGTGGCGTTCTAATTTTTTGCCTTGCGAAACTAAACGCTGAAACGATTTCGAAATTGTCAAATAGAGCAATGACAATTAAATATCTTTGAATTTGTCGGTGCAAGAAGTGACTGTAGAACATTATTTTCTAGAAAGCCTAGTCAGTCTAGTCACGGCGAGTTTGTGTGTCAAAGGTAAGCTAAAGTATAGTCTGCAGTGCGCTTAAGATCGTTTTTAGACGATGATTATTGTTAGCGTTGCTTTTCGGAGTCGCTCCTGCCTAGGAATTACCTTAGGACGTGTTGTTTGATAAAATAGGTGTGTTTCTAAAAGTTAAGTATATATCAATTATACTGTAACAATGGAGAAAATTTAGAAAATTTTCTCCATGTTATTTTCTTAAGTTCAATTTTTGAAAGTTTGAAGGATTCTTTAGTTCTTTTCATGAATTTTAAAGAAACTTCTAACCGGTAAAATTAAAAACAAAATGATTTATTCTTTCTTCTGTACCCAATATAGAGTTCATCTCTAAACTTACGTTTGGTTCCTTCATTTCCACTTCTTGCCTAGCGGCCGAATCTGCTTTCATACCCAGGCTGGATGCAATCTTGTAAACACAGGAACTGGCCCCAGGTCCAGGTAGGCCCTGGGTACCATTGTAACCGGATGGTCCACGAGGGCCCTGAGTACCATTATATCCTGGAGGTCCGGCAGGTCCAGCAGGTCCGGCAGGTCCAGCAGGTCCGGCAGGTCCAATATCACCCTTAGTACTATTGAGTCCCAGTGGGCATGTGATCTACGAAAAAAAAAAATTTCTGTTTTGACAAGAAGAACGAAATCACCACTTCCTCTTCCAAGAAGAGGAAGTGATGATTTCACTGATACCAAAGAGACAAGAACTGTTATTAACCAAACAGCTGTATTGATTGGGTTGTAATTCTGAGACCAAACACGCGAATAGCTGCATTCTGATATCGCCGTCCATAACTCTAAGAAACAGAGATATACAAGGAGATGAATATACAGAAAAAAAAACTTGCCTTTGTAACGTTTTTCTCCAGATTCCCTAAACCTTTTGAAACCTGTTACAATAATGAATAAAAAGGTTTACATGAAGAGACTGTGTCGTAGTAAGATAACACAGTTTGTGTCGAAATAAAATTGCACTATTTAATTCAAGTGAGTTTAATTTGGCGTGTACACGTACTACAAGAAATGTAAGAAATTCAAGAAGTGGATCTTGTCTATGTGTAATCTTTCTTTCTTTAGTATAAGACTATATTGAAAACACTGAGGGAAAAACTCACCTCGGTAAAGTTATTCTCCAGATTCTCTAAACCTTTTGAAACCTGTCACAATAATGAATAAATATTGCATAAAGAGACTGTGTCGTCATAAGATTTTACTATTTGATTCAAGTGAGATAAATTTGTACACGTCCTACAAGAAATGAAACAAATTCCAGAAATATATTTTTTTGATTTGTAGTCTTTCATCTCTCTGTCTAGACTATATTGAAAACACTGAAGGAAAATCTCACCTCGGTAAAGTTATTCTCCAGATTCTCTAAGCCTTTTGAAACCTGTCAGAATAACAATTGAAAAGGTTTACATAAAGAGATTGTGTCGTAATGAGATTACACTATTTGATTCAATCGAGTTTAATTTGGAGTATACATGTACTACAAGAACGGTCAGAAATTCAAGAAATGGATCTTTGTTGATGTGTAATCTTTCTTTCCTTACTATAAGACTATATTGAAAACACTGAAGGAAAAACTCACCTCAGTAAAGTTATTCTCCAGATTCTCTAAACCTTTTGAAACCTGTCACAATAATGAATAAATATATTGCATAAGGAGACTGTGTCGTCATAAGATTGCACTATTTGATTCAAGTGAGATAAATTTGGCGTGTACACGTCCTACAAGAAATATAAGAAGTTCAAGAAATGGATCTTTGTTGATATGTAATCTTTCTTTCTTTACTATAAGACTATATTGAAAACACTGAAGGAAAATCTCACCTCGGTAAAGTTATTCTCCAGATTCTCTAAGCCTTTTGAAACCTGTCAGAATAATAATTGAAAAGGTTTACATAAAGAGACTGTACATGTGTCGTAATAAGATTATACACTATTTGATTCAAGTGAGTTTAATTTGGCGTGTACACGTACTACAAGAACGGTCAAAAATTTAAGAAACGGATCTTTGTTGATGCGTAATCTTTCTTTCTTTACCATGACTATCTTGAAAACACTGAAGGAAAAACTCACCTCGGTAATGGTATTCTCCAGATTCTCTAAACCTTTTGAAACCTGTCACAATAATGAATAAAAAAAGTTTACACAAAGAGACTGTGTCGTAATAAGATAACACTATTTGATTGTGTCGAAATAAGATTGCACTATTTGATTCAAGTGAGTTAAATTTAGCATGTACACTTACTACAAGAAATATAAGAAATTCGAGAATTAGATTTGCTTTGATGTGTAATCTTTCACATGAGAAACGGAAAAATTGAATACAAGGAATACAAAAAGTTAGTAATACATATAAGAATGACTAAATCTACTAAATGTTTAAGAACTGATGCAAATAAGGGCTCTAGGATCGATGAATAAGGAATTCAATTAATGAATATCAAGGAAGATAATTAAAAAATATGTTTGTTGAATTGCCAAGGATATTCAGAGTAAACTTACTTTGTTTTTAACATTCAGGAACTCCTTTTTAATCTGCAATGAAAAAGTAGAATCAAATTTGAACAATACACGCTTTTTAACAGTTTTGTTATTCGAATGCCAAGCACACAAATACTTTCTTTTCTAATAACGCTACCCCCAGCCCTCCCCCCCCCTTTACTCAAAAAAAGAAAAAAAACCAGAAGTTCACGACTATAAACAAACACTGAAGGAAAAACTCACCTCAGCAATGTTATTCTCCAGAATCCTCTTTGAAACCTGACGTAAAAACGAATAGAAATAGGTTCCTGACTAAAGTTTAAAGGAAAGTATTCGTTTTCAATATAAAATATAAAGACGGAAAGAGATGAAACGAAAATGAAAACATGAAATGCGAGTAATTAAACAAGAGTCGAGCAGAGAAATTTTATGCACCTTCTACCCTTCAAAAAACCGAAAAAAAAAATTGAATGGACGCGAGCAGAAAAAAGGGACACATTTTACAACAGTCAACTTACTAGGCAGCTTTCTTGAGCTATTTATCTTTGAGCCCACGGAACCCAACTACAACTGAAATGGCATGATAAGAATCATGGTTGATATCATATGGCGGGTTGTATTGATTATAGAAAATCTAAATTCCCACTACTTGAGGTTTTTTTTCAGTTTCCAGCAGTAGTGGATGTATCTCGTGATGAGATTTCTATCACTGAATTTTCTTCCCTAATTAATAGCGAAGAATTTTGACTTACCGGTTCTCTCAAAGACGAGAGGTTCCTTTTCAGCTCTTGTTGATTCTTCTTAAGTTCTGATATTTCTTCATGAATAGATGAAAGAAAAACATTAATAAATGAGTGGATGCATAAATACATGATGGCTGAAGATTTAAATGATGATAATAATAATAATAATAATAATAATAATTAAGTCTTTTCAATTGGATTTGTGTGGGTAAAGCCTGCTTCCGTACTTTTTTACAGTTTTAATTAACAAATTACGGCGTCTGAAAATATACCTCCTCAAAGGAGAGAAGTCCTTATCGGCGGAAATGGAATTGTTTTTACGTATACCGTTGCTCTTCGGAGGAATAAAATAAACCATGAGAAACATATATTTAATGCATTTCATGGCAGTTCAAATACATATAAAGATATTTGAACTGCCACTCCACTCCTGGGACTCCTTGGAAGATATGATCAGGAACAGTAAGATCACGGGAGCTCGGGCAGAAACTGTGGACATATTTCCTGCAGTGCATTTGTACCTATTCATCGTCTCAGAAGACAAGGTTTAATTAAGAAATGATTTTCAACGCTGATTCATTCTCGTCGATCACAATAAATAAGCAACTTAAGTGTTAAATCACTTGATGTGATTTTTTTGGATCTCGACGCAATGTTTGCCCCGTGGCGATCGCAGAAATCTTTATGCAAACACTAGGATCGATTACTGGCAACTCACTCATTAGGATATAGAAATTAAAACTTGGATGTTCCTAAACATTTTAAGATCCAAGGATTTTTTTGAAAATAATTACTATGTAAAAATAGGCTTCGTTGGTTTTTCAAATTTGATTACCACGAAAAATTTAGGGTATTCAATATTTTCGGCTTTTCCGGATTATGTTTACCGCTTACTCCCCTAATGCTCTAATGCGGTGTTTGAACATTTTTCACATCTTTCGATTCTCAATAGAACTTTATAAAACGATGAAACAATGCGGTCGATTTTTCATTTACAAAGTAGCGCAACAGAAAAATTCTTTAATAAACCCAGGGCATAAGTCCTTGGGGTCTTTTGGTCTCAAGGAAAAACTGTAGATAAGCCACAAAAAGATCCTTTTTTTTCAATAGGTTAAATGTTTCAGTCTGAACGGGTAACAGTGAATGTAATTTCGCTATTATGATTGACCCTAGAGCTCAAGAATCGACCCACAGGGAGAAGGATGATCTTAAATCAAATTGGTGAGACTTTCCTGATCATCTTATACGTTAATGACTTTTACATGCTGTCAATAACATCGGGAATTTATTTTCGAGACTTAAACTGAATCCAAGAAAAACAAAAAAACGAACCAAAAAAAAAAAAAGAACCCTATTCATCGCACACATTTCAAAGCCCGGGAAGGGGGGATGATTTTTGTAAATAAAGATAATATCGCTGTCAATAAAGGTATTCATGATTCTCGCGAGGCGTGCTAAGATGCATTTTTGTGCCTAGGTATCGCACCTAGAGCTGCGGAGCAAGTTTAACAATTGTTGTTCAATGCTGAAGAGAGAAGTGTGTTGGTGTACTGTTATAAACAAACAAACAAAAAAAACGCCTTTGAAGGCAATTATCAGAGAAGGGTCTAGAGATCCTTTCCTGTTTGTTCTTATCAATGACTCGAAGGTCTCTAACAATAATAATAATAATAATGATAGTAATTAAAAATAATAGTAATGATAATAAAAGAGGCTTCTTCACGATTTGGGCGTAAATTTGATAAGCTAATCATCTGCAGTGCGTCACAGGCTTGTCCGTACTTTTTCAACCTCGATCTTGTTTGGATTTCGTGCTCTTGCCAACTTTTACGTTTGTCTACCTTACCAGGCGAAGTATGTGTGGTTTACCATAGGCTGAGACTCGATTTCGCAGCGAAAATTGATCCAAAATAGAAGCGCATCTAACGCACGATAAATTTGAAGATATGAATTAAAATTTAGAATAAAAAATCTTGTAAATCTGAAAATACCTGTTTCTCCAGAGCAGGAACATTGCGGTGAACCAACGTGAAGTACACCAAACAACATCAGCAAGGTGAGCGCAAGAGAAACTACTGAGAGAAAACATATAGCCAGCAGGGCCACATGATACAATCTCGGACCTTGGCTGGCATCGCTCTTCTCGTCAGCAGTTTGCAGCAAACTACTACCATTTCCCATATTCCCGTTTGAAATAGCATTCAGTTGCTCTTGACCGTCAATGGTCGCTTCAGTTTCCTTTTGGGTAAGGAAGAGCTTATCTTCTGTTTCGGTAAGATGGTTTTCTTGAAGTTCTGTTTCACAATTAGACGCCATAGGCGAGTTCGATCGTTGCCCAGGGGAAACACTTCTGTTTAAAAAAGACATGTTCCTCTCCGGAGTCGTTACTATAGGCGTGTTATTCTTTGCCTTTCCTTTAAAGGTGCAAAATCAAAAGTCAGTAATATTAGGCACCCGAAAAGAGGAATAGATCTGAAGAGTATGACAAACTGCCACGTTATATGTTGTACTATTTCCTTAGTAACGGACTTGTACAAACACATACTGTTCTCATTCTCCTCTCTAAACGGTTTATTACTCTCAAAAGTAATTATCGAGAAATGCGCAGCTTAGCATGAGAGAATGTGCCAGATAATGATGGAATTAACAGTTTCAGCTCAATTATTACTGATATTTCAGGGAGGAATCTGCGTCCAGAAGAACAAAAAAATTGAAAATAGAATTAAGAACTTTGTGCATACGAGTTTAGACAATATGATCAGCATTGAATGATATCTGATGATCGGCCAACTTTTTTGCAGTTTTCAAAAATCAGTCAATTCTTCATTCTATTGTTCAACTCTTTGAAATTAAGAAGGCTGATTGGCTTATTTCATCTTCATTAAAAAAAGAACAAAAGATTTCCTCAGGTGCTCCCAAGGTCAATGAAACGTTACCGGTTGTAGTTTACGTTGTTCGCAATAAAGAGAAAAGCAAACGATAACCTTCTCGTATTTCCTCTTTCCGTCTAAAACAAAAGCAAAAGACGAGCAAGCTGATAATAAACAAATGTTTGATATCTGTCTTCCGCACATAGTTACGGAACAAAGGACGTGAACGTACTGATTCGATTAATCATTATCCTGTTCTTAATGATCGTAGGAAAACCGTTTAAACTTGTTTTTGGCACAGTTTTCATAAAAACACATTTAAGGTCATCAGTTTATGCCAATGCTATCTAACGCATGAACCCTGATCTTGTAGAATTAAACAAAGGCAAAAAAGGATGAGTTGGACCAAGTCGTCATAAGTAGGAAAATATTTCCGTTGTTTACCGTCCCATCAGAAAAACCGATTGTTCGACAGTTAAGATGAATGAGATGCATTCCCGAGTAGGAATTTCCTTGGTACACGCCTATTTCTTTTATACAAAAATTCCCAGGGAAGGGATTCATGGGATGTGAGTCGGAAAAGTTAGGATATAAGTGGGAGGGAATGGTCTTGAATTCTTGTCTTTAAAATGTTGCGATAATCGACCATCTCTCTCCAACTGATCGACTGACTGTGAACTGTATAGAACACGCTCATCTATATACTCACTATCGGTAGGCATGAGTTGGCACGCAGCAGGCCAACTGACCTTGAAAGATTTTAAAAACATTGTGGTCAGAATAATAACCTAAAAACCTTCGCAAGAATGTGACAAATAAAAACAACGTATCTAAAACTTCCGATCAAGCAATCAGTCGTTGACTGCCAAAACAAAAACATGACCTTCAACGCGAGGTCATTAGACAATCTGAGCACGTCCGCTGATGGAAGTTAGTAAAGAGAGATACATTAAGGAAACTCAACGCCATAGCTAAAACGAAAAGACACTTTGGTCTGTGAATTCAAATCTTGATTAAAACTACTGCTAAATCAAAATCCCTAAAATCATACTAAACTCATCGACTACCTCACAACAATTAATGCATCTAGACTGATATGATCCGACTTCCGTTCTACCGAATTTTGCTTCAACTCAATGTCCTAGCACGGGTATTGGTAAAACACAAACAGTACGTTGGCAATTAAAAGTTAATGGGCGTTTCCCTTTACTCTTTAGGTTGAATTTAGGAATTTTAATCGCACGAAGAATGTTTTTCATTACACTCCTCTTGTTCAACAGGAAAAATTTTGATAGGAGATTGTTGGGGCCCAGCATAACTCTGTTTTTTCCTCTCATGACGAAACTGTTAGCAAAGGTACTGGGTTATCGATGGTACTGAATCTACTGACAGATATTTCGGGAATCTTACTCTAGACAAACAGCACGCGCAGAAAGCGTGGTTAGAAGTTGGACTTACTCTTTCATCTATTTCTCATGCCTTGAACCTATAATACATGTATGGTAGAATTGCCAATGATAAAAGATTCCCGTTAAAATTTTCAGGGAAATTAAATGATAGAGAATGGGAAACAATGTTTCCTTGTCTACCTTAACTTGATTTGTTGGGTATTTATTTTAGTTTTGCTTTCGATCTTAAAATACTTTTTTTTCCTCTGGTGTATTGGGACAAAAGAAAAAAATTCTTAGACACAAGAGTACCCATTTCCTAATCATTTTGCTGGGGCAGTCTATTGAAAAATCCCTTGAAATTTCAGACAAACTCATGCAAAAGTTAACAAAATGATTGCAAATGAAGTATGATGAGTACGATTTTATTTCTTCAACATCTACGGATTAACTCTGGAATTGGCTACAAATGTTTATTACATTATTTGCGACTAAACACCACCGTTAGTCCTTTCGACCCTTGAAAATGACGCATCTAATATCTCTATATGATTTCTCAATCACACAATAAAGACCCGAGAACAAAGGAAATGATCACCAGCTATAAAGCCCTTGATTGTTAAACTAATTCTCCTTGTCAGCACCTTACAGTGTGCTTTCGTCCACAGCGTTGACATGGTTGAATAACAATAATGATAACTATATTGGTGCATTGATAATGATTATGATGTTGATTGATGATAATAAGCATAACGATGTTAATGAAGATGATCATAACGATGATGAGAATAATCACGACTACGACTAATTATAAAATTAGGAAGATAAGGAATATAATAGTCACAATCTATTGGTTACCAAGTATAATACTAAGGCCGTGACAAAATACTTGTTCTGTCCTGCAATGCTTCTATTCACTCTGTGCAAACCAATTCAGCAAGAATGGCTTTTAAGAAAGTAGAAACAGTAAAAGTAGGCTAAGAACAAATTTTATTTTATCAGATTTAAAACAAAAATAAAACAAAATTCAAAAAACCCAACAACTATTTTATTTTCTCTTTTATTCTTCAATTTGAAGAATAAAAGAGGAAATAAAAATTGAATTCTACGAAATGTTGCCTCGCCAAGAAAACGACTGATCTGCGATTGTTACATCGAAAACTGTTGCTTTAAATCAATGTCTAGATCAGTCGAGGCATACTGTAAGATATATAGTTATCCTTAAACGCATGATTGTCAAAGTTGTCTATGAGCTAGCAAACGCTCGAATACTAAGGAAGTCGTTTCAAGTGCGTACATATTTATTTTCCACGATTTGTAAAATGAAATTGCATAGAAAGCCCGATAGACGACGTTTAACGCACACCTTCACATGCAATTGATCGGCAGGGCAGAATTTGGATTCAGTACGCACAAAAATTTCATTGTAGAAAGTTTTGTCGCCACGTTAAAAAACCTGGAATTACGAAAGTAAATTAGGTGCGGAGACGATCAGTTTCCGGGGCCCAAGTGCTTCACCCAGGGATATAGATCTAACACTTTGCCCTGAAATTTATTTCCCGAAAGAAGGGGGAAATCACAAGTGTAGAGGTCCAACCGAAAGTCAGGTAAATTGTACTTCAAAGAAAATGCAAATCGTATCCAACATTTCACATCCTTGAACTTATAATAAGTAATTTCGGGATTTCCAGTCATAAATTGATAACTTCGAGTTTCCACTTACCATATGTCGAAGCCTCGCTTCGAACCATCATCATCGCTGATGCTAAGACCAAGGTGGCAGCGGCCTTTAGGAGGGAGGCAACAGAAATGACAGACACAGCAACGAAAAGACAGCGAAATTTCAGCGTGTACAAATTTTTAAAAGACGGCTGTGCTCTCGCTTCAGGATCTACCTGGGGAGTTTGACTTATAACAATGACAACGTCATAGGTTTCAGCTTCATATCCTATGTTCTATCTCAAAGTACAGATTTTCCTGTCCAATTTGACTCCTGTTACTCATAGTGTAAGGAATGTTACGTATTTTAGGAATGTTCGCTTGAATTTCACAAATCACAAAACCTCGTGATCTCGCGACAGCCGGAAAATTTGATGTGATATGGTCAGGTAAATATAGCTTTTATTTCCTGACTGTAAGGAAATACAGAAACGCTTTACTTTGAAAGTAAGTCAATTATTGTCAATATTTGTTTCCACTTAAGATTTTCGCAATCTATTTTGAGAAAGATTTTACCAGATCACAGGGTTGTATACAGACATTTTGTTGCTATTATCCACTTTCTACTCCGCTGCATAATGCTTGAGATGGATGCTTTCATCTCTACATCACTCGACTTACCAGAACTATGCAGACAAACAAACGCCAAGGAGCCCTATTGGTTGTATGTTGTTTGTCATGGCCAGTTGAACCTAGCTGGTTTGTCGATCCGTGAACAAAATGGTGATAATATCAAACCATTCTATTCTTATCGCCGAAACTTACGGAACTGTTTCCGCTGATCTTTTTTTGCAACGTCCGCGAGACGAGTGCATGTAATCGTAGCCTAATTTGCGACTATTTGTATTTTTTTTAATCCTTGCTACTATATCTTGAATCCCTAAGACACACGTCCGAGGTTATTTTTGGACACAGTTCAGCAAGATCGGGTCATATGAATAAAATGGAAGCATATGGGAAAATCAAATAATAATGATAAAAAGGAAAAGAAAGCTTTTTGTCATGCGCTCCGTATAGTTCTTCTTCGTTCTTATGAAAATATTTTTTCCAGTAGTATCCACTCCGCGAATCTTTCTTTGTTTCTTCGATACATTTTTTTTTCAATGGTGCGAGGTAGGAGGTCAAATAACGCATTTTAATGAGATTTGTCTCCTCACACTACCGGTTGTTTGTTTGATTGATTTAAAGGACACCTCTGGCATGTTCACACAAGGGCAGTCTTGTTCACGACGAAATCTCCGCCAAGAAAAATGATCAAATTCTATCCCTTTCCGATTAGATGTCTCAAAGACACCTTGTGAAAGGTAGCAACCGATGATATAACATATTTACTTCAATCTCATCTATAATTTCCACGTGACTGTTAAAGGCAATGTCTCGTATTAGAAGTTG